GAATAACATGATTATAGTCTGGTAAATGTATTATCAAGTTAGTTTACAGTTGGCACCTTGCAGTAACTGAAATTTACTCATCTAATAGCAACACCTGAACCTTCTCATACAGTATACCGCTGACTTTCAAATACAGGTTTGCATTGACCAGAGGTGAATAGTCTTTAATGAATTTAAAGAATTTCTTTAATTCTTTATTAATTCTTTTGCTGGCCATTATAATGCATTATGAAGGTATCTGTAATCCAAATGACAGCCTTAAGTAAAGTGTCCCAGGCCTTCTTTTCACACATGGGCTGCTTGTGGACTCCATCCTATTCAACAGTGATTTCCAGTTTTCCAGGTCTACCTTCAGGCCTTCATCCTCCAGCTCTGTCAGAGTCATGCCTCCTCTTGTCCCTCGCTGTCAGAGGTCTTCCTCTTCTTGCAGTTACATCTTATATGGTCGGTATAAGAATTTAGGATGCTTTGTACTGCATTATGAAGGTATCTATAGTGCATTATAGGTGAGAGCTTCATAAGGCACTCATAATGCATAATAAACATGGCTATAATATTTTATGCATTTTATAAATTTTTATAGCCATGTTTATAATGCTTTATGAATGCATTATAATGCTTTATGAATGTGTTCATAAATTCTAATAGACATGACATTCATAGAAAGTGTTCCTGCTATTTCTTCCGCACTAACCATATAGTTTTTACTGTTCCTGTCCTTCATCACCATTACCCCCCTGGCTCACCTTCCTGGTGCCCACCACCCCTCACTCTCCCGGGCTCTATTGCACTCATTGCTCAGAGTTGCTCTCGGCTTTGCCCCCCTCTCCCATGAAGCCCAGTCTAAATCTCCATACTATATAACAGTTTCAACAATGCTGCTAAGGTGGTATTTATGCATGTGGTTCCGTTCACCAAACTATTGAAAACAGCTGAGGTAGATGTCTGAGTTCTTTTTTTTATTTTCATGGACATGAAGGGATTTTCAGTAAGAAAGAAGGCATCTTCAGATTCTGCTTTGGGCCATGAACAGAAGTGAATTTCAGGTCACTGAAGAACATGCCAGGCTGCCCTGTGATCCTGGACAGAATAATCAGCGTAATGACACATTTGAGAATCAGACAGAGGGCTCTGCAAATTACCGCATGATGTATGGCAACAAAAACAAACTGGCTGCACGCAGAATTACTCATGTCGCCTCTGAGGGCATTTTAATGAACAAGAACAAAATAAACAACAAAAAAGGTATAAGCAGTGTCTGTACCACATGCTTACACAATTCAGGCAGCCTTTAAGGGTAAAGATAAGTTTACTAACTACTGTAAAACACATAATGAAACACACACACACAGACAGGTTTGTATTTATATCTTTGTGGGGACTCTCCATTCATTTCTTTGGGGGAAACTCAAATCACAACATGATGAACCCCTACCCAGCCCTAACCTCAACCATAAGTGACCAAACAAAATACGAGACTTAACATTTTTACTTTTTTGATTGCATTAACAGATCTTTGTGGGGACCTGAAAATGGTTACCACAGTGTCAAATATGTTTTATTACATTGTGGGGGACAATGAAATACTATTTTTAGACAAAAGTATCAATTTGAACATGTATTCTGACTGCTATCAAAATTCCGATGTCACATGTTGCTGTCAAACTGTTTACTACTGATCATGTAAAAATGAAGTATCAATCAGTTGAGTATAAAGAGTCACAGTTACAAAGTACTCAACTGGTTGGTTGAAACAAAATCCTGGTCTGGATTTTTAATTTCTGGAGCTGAACTATCCATCTCTGACATTGACTTTCAGCCTTAACGTGAGCATTTGGGTTGACAAGGCCACCATCTTCTTTCCTGGATATACACAGGGTCTGCTGCATTGGTAATACTTTTTATGAATCCCATGTCTATATGACACATTATAATGCATTCATAAAGCATCATAACATGGCTACAGATATTTACAAAAAGGCATAACACATTATATTTATAAAAAAGCATAACATGTAATAAAACACACACACACATAAACAAAATGTTTGCTCATCTTTTCTAAGGTTAAAATCTTTAATGAAAGACATAAACAGGAGCAATTCAGTGTTTCTGTTTAATTTACTACTCCGTTTGCCAGGTCATTCCCCCAGAGCAAGCTAACACAACACTATGCATAAGAAAACATGATTATAAAGATTAAAACATGTTTTTACTTCATACATAGTTTACCGGTTCTCATTGTTTCCAGACAGAATCCTCGATTTCCTTTGAAAATGTTGAAAGTCGATGTGCTCTTTCTTTCCAGCCTTTAATTTATTCAGCGTAGACCAGCAATCATTAAATTCTGATGTTCCCAACTAAAACATCACCATCGCCTAGCTCTGCCGTCCCACGATGCCCGGTCAACTTATAAAAATAATTTGATTCTCCTCCAGCCAGACCGTTAAAATGTTTTTACACATCCATACAGTGCAATAAGTCATCTGTTGTCCCAGAACATAAATAACTATTCTTCATTATTTTGTAATTTATAGTGTGGGAAAATATTACACAAGTAGAGATGAGGGGGCTTCATTGTAACCAACTTTGCTTTAACCAAAAAGATGGATAAAACACAGGAAGTGCTTCTAGAGCAAAATATATTTTATTATCATCTCCTGTGTCCTGTATCCTGTAGCCAAGGTAGGGGCAAGCCAACAGCGGAAATGGCAAAATGCAAAAACAATGCCCAAACTTAAAAAACTCTCGAGGCTTTGACTGAACAAGGAAATTTCAAGGCATCCCTTTCCTCAGTACGTGTGTGAGCTGGTTCAGATGTGTTTGCAGAAGCTCCCCGTAGGAGCTGAAATGCACTTCCAAAACGTGACTGAGCTTCTGCAGCTCCCCATCTGGAGGCAGTAACATGGTTGCTACCATGGCAACTGCCATCACTGCTCCTCAACATGCCGGTTCGGATGCCAGCAGCTGTCACTTGATCTAATGTTATACACATCTGGACTTGCCCCTTGACTTAGATCACATTGACTCAAGTCTATTCTTACTTATTTTTTCACAAAGCTAAAAAGAACAGTGCAAGTACAGCCCAGTCTATTCCTTTCATCTGTCCTCTTTGAATAGCACACTGGAAAAGGTAAAACGCCCCTATATTGCTTATTCTCATACTTGGGCATCTATTGTAAGCTCAGCCTAGCTGCACTTATAACTAGTCCACTCCTTGACAGATGTAAGTTGGAATTGTGCTACTTGCCTCACTTGAAGGTCACTTTGGACAAAAGCATCCGTTAAATAGAGAAAATGTAAATGTGAATGTAAGGGCACAAGATGTAGCCTAATGTTACAAGTTGTAAAATGCTGTATCTGCATAATATTGAAAGGTCACCAACCTCAAGGGTGGCCCAGAGGGACAATGACTTAAATGACCTTGGCAACAATTTTTTGCATATGCATATTTTTTTTATATTGTGGGTACGGATATTTTTTTAGTTTCAATCAACAGGATTTCTTAGAAAATAACAATAATGCCTATTTTAATCATCTACTCAAAAGTAACTGATATTTTTTAAATGACAGTTATACATATAAGTGCAATTTTTCAGCATATTCCCCATATTCCAGGTATTATAGAAAAACAAGCTGAAAAATTGAGTTAAATGACATTATAATGTTTCTGGGTGGCTAGATTCTCATTCCTAGGTTCAGTGGCAATTTAACAATCATTAGCACATTTTTAGCACTTCCAAAAGCCATTTAGACCCAAGGAAACGATTCTAGTAAACTTCCATCCATCTTCCACAACTGCTTATCGGGTGCTGGGTCGTGCATGGCTGGAGCCTGTCCCAGGAAACACAGGGCACGAGGCAGGGATATCCTGGATGGGATATCAGGCCATGGCAGGGTGTGCACTCACACTGAGCAATTTAGAGATCTCAGTTCACCTAAGTCCATGTTTTCGGACTGCAGAGGAAAACCTGGAGGAAACCCACGTGACGACAGGGAGAACATGTGAATTCCACACATAGAGGGCTGGGGGTAGGAACTGAACCCATAACCCAAGAGGTCTGGGGTCACAGTGCTGAGCACTCAGCCTCTGCACTGCGTGATAATAAACAACTAGCCTAAAAAAAAAACAGTTGGCTGCAAAACTCAGTGTCTGCTGAACTCAAGCAAGCACTGAAGTGGGACTGAGCCTCTCTGCTGACTTGCTGCTTGCCGGTGTCCTTTATTCACTCTATCAGCGATCTCACAAAACAGTAGCAGAGCCCTCCTCGAGAAACGCAGGCCCTGATTTGCATCGATTTGGTGCCAGATCGGTTTGTTGCAAACCGAGCAGAATACACATGAAAAACAATCACATTTAGAGTGTGATGCAGTAATGATCCGTAGCACCTTAACTTTCAGAACAACTTACACTTATCTGATTTTATAAAAACAACAACAACAACAAAACATTTAAGATGTATCAAAATACTGCCTGAGATTTGCTGATATTTCTTTGTCTCAGACTCCGCTTGAGCTAAAAACCGGCGCAAGACCGTCACCTCTTGGTCCCCTCGTGCCATCAAAAGGCTTTCCCAAAGAGGCCCCCTTTTGTGTAAACAGCAGCACCACATGAGAGATTTGATGGACAGTGCACTGTTTGCAGTCTGAAGGGCAGTTTTATTTGATTCCCCCTTTCAAACTAAAATATACAGCACAGCCGCTGTTTGTGAAGGGAGAAAAGGCATGTCATTTGAAAACCGGGAAAAGCACAACAGTTTGGGTGTTCTGCATAACAGGCTTTACTAAATTTAATAGTATTGTGCTCGTTCTTGGCACGCTGCGGCAGTTCTGATTACAGATCACCATTCGGGCTGATGCCACATTAAGTGTTATTTTCTTTGTCACAGAGCAGTGAAGTGTTCAGGGCCCTTTGCCGCATAACTAATTTTCCTTCTTCAGGAACACATAGCAATTGCCTTCTGCTGGGGGGTGGGGGAATCAGGAAATGTGAGAAAAGGGACTGTATCAAACCACTCTGTTTATTTCCAGTGTCATCCACACTTTAAAGAGAATTACATATGCTACAAATGCGATGACATTCTCCAACATTTAATCACTGTACAGAACATCATTATGGGCATGGAAATTAAGGAGAGACAATCGTCAGTATTCTGGTAATCGATAATCCCACTTCAGGATTTCCAGTAGCAGGTTCAGTAAAGTTAAACTGAAAAAGACTCTACTGTACACATACTAACAAAGAATTCACAGACTAATGGGAAAAAAGAACATTTCAGTTTTAGATGATAAACACACACCAAAATGTACATACATTCCTAAAAGTACAATGCTAAGAAAATACTGAAAAATTGTGCTTTTGGACATAACTCTCCTGTAAACTCCAGATAACTGATGATCCACTGCTTTGCCAAAACATTCCTGCCCTGCTGGAGCATTACAGCAAGACAAGCTCTACAAGCCTGGAATCAGCAGCCTAGGAGCCCTGGATTTGTAACCATGCTCCTAAGGAGGCCGTGTCAGTGGGCTGGCGTTGCTCTGTCAGCGCTTAATGTCCATTATGAATGCTGTGTCATACCGCTTGGCTTCAAAGAACCTTTGGGCTTCATATAAAACAACTTACCTATAAATATATATTAAAAGGCCTTATCCTTTGCACTGTTTATGTCATCTAGGAGCAGCCAGTGACTCTGTAATCATAGCAATAGTTGATACAAAACATAAAACAGAAATCAAATAAAATACAACCTCAAAATGTAGTTCTTCTTAACAAATGCACATCTACAAATGTTTCTCATATGGATAAAGTAATACAACCATAGACTCAAAACCTCAAGGGTTCTATCTTGTGTGCTACGTGGTCAACCGTGCATACACTGGTGTGTGGACATACCTACATATGTACCTACAACTGAGTTTGCACAGTCCTGCTTTCGTTTGCAGTCATTGGTGAGTTCTGCTGCTCTGGGGAAATCCCTTAGGGTCTTCCAAATGTGTGAGCATCACACGTTCATGTGGAGCTCATTATATTCATCCTTTCCATTTTCATCAAAATTGGGGATGCCATCCTCTGAATCCAGCTACAAAAAATATAGACATCGACTCAATCAACCAGTCATTTCTAAAGTGATCTACAGAATCTTCTCAAGAAATTGACTACAGAACAAATCAGTAAACATGTGAACCTGGTGTGAGGGGCAGCCATGGAGATGAAATATAGGCAGTATTTTTATATATAAAAGATAGGGGCGGTCAGTCCAATTAGCAACGTACACAATATTGCCAAAAGTATTGGCACACCCCTCCAAATCATTGAATTCAGGTGTCCCAATCACTTCTATAGCCACAGGTGTATAAAATCAAGCACCTAGGCATGCAGGAAGCAACTCAGGCAGGAAGTGGTAGGCCAAATAAAATCACAGAGTGGGGACAACACATGCTGAGGCGTACAGTGTGCAGAAGTCCCCAACCGTCTGTAGAGTCAATAGCTGTAAACCTCCAAACTTTGCATGGCCTTCAGATTAGCTCAAGAACAGTGTGTAGAGAACTTCATGGAATGGGCTTCCATGGCTGAGCAGCTGCATCCAAGCCTTACATCACCAAGCGCAATGCAAAGCGTCGGATGCAGTGGTGTAAAGCACGCCGCCACTGGACTCTAGAGCAGTGGAGACGTGTGCTCTGGAGTGACAAATCACGCTTCTCTGTCTGGAAATCCGATGGACGAGTCTGGGTTTGGCGGTTGCCAAGAGAACATTACTTACCTGACTGCATTGTGCCAAGTGTAAAGTTTACTGGAGGGGGGATAATGGTATGGGGTTGTTTTTAAGGGTTGGTCTTGGCCCCTTAGTTCCAGTGAAAGGAACTCTTAATGCTACAGCATTCAAAACCATTTTGGACAATTTCATGCTCCCAACTTTGTGGGAACAGTTTGGGGATGGCCCCTTCCTGTTCTAACATGACTGCACACCAGTGCACTAAGCAAGGTCCATAAGGACATGGATGAGCGAGTCTGGTGTGGAGGAACTTGACTGGCCTGCACAGAGCCCTGACCTCAACCTGATAGTACACCTTTGGGATGAATTAGAATGGAGGCTGCGAGACAGGTCTTCTCATCCAACATCAGTGCCTGACCTCACAAATGCTCTTCTGGAAGAATGGTCAAAAATTCCCATAAACACACTCCTAAACCTCATGGACAGCTTTCCCAGAAGAGTTGTAGCTGTTATAGCTGCAAAGGGTGGACCAACTCCATATTAAAGCCTATGTATTAAGAATGGGATGTCATTCATGTGTGTGTAAAGGCAGGTGCCCCAATACTTTTGGCAAAATAGTGTAGGTGCCTGCTGTATTTTAAGGGGGCATCAACCACCGTCCCCCTGAGAAAAGACATATGAGGGCTAAAACAGGCACACTCACCGCTTTCAGCTCCCGTTCCTCAAAGACACGCGTGAGAATCAAACGGCGTAGGGGTACAGTCATGATAAGTACAAAGGGGAAAGCCAGCGAGGCAACGGTGGACTTGACGACCCAGAGCAGCGCGATGCACATCAGTTGGATGACTGTGAACATGTTCATGCGCCAGGTCTTCACCTTCAAGTCACCCATGGGCACATAGACAAACACAAAGGAACATGAACACTGTACATCACCATCTTTTCTAGTAGTGTTTACCTAACTATATATTTGTGGGCTGTCAGATTGTTTGGGCTCCACCTAGTGGGTGTTGAGTGACACACCTCTATCTTTTAATACTATTCAGATATTCTGAAGGACGTTCTGCAATCGACGTCTACAGAATTAACATATTACCACAGGTAAATCTACAGTTACACACAGCCATGAAAACAACCCAACTGAGCTGTTTAACTCCACTGCCTGACTCTCATTGGTTTCAGCTTTGGTTACCTTAGTGACATAGATGTGGTCAGGATGGTGCTTGGCAGGTGTGACCATGAGCATGATGCGCTCATACAGCTGTATCCCAGTGAGAGAAGTGATGCCCATATATAAGAAGATCCCAAAGAGTACAGCCAATGGGATGTGTCGCAGCACATTCTTCATCACAATGGACATGCCTGGGATATAGAGGTGGTGCAAGGCCATTCATGGAGCACTGCAGTAGGCCAGCGTCTCGTAAAGATGAGAAGCAGAAGGGAACATGAGCAGAGCCAATGGATTGGGAGCCAAGCCTCACCTATGAGCAGAGAGACCATCATGCCGGTGATCCTCTGGTCTTTGACCTCCTGAATCACCGGCTGCTCCCCGGGGGCGGTGGCTTTGCTCATGACAGTCAGCGCGTTGACGTGGGTGACGGAGCGCACAGTGGTGGCCGTCAACCAGGGCAGGCCGAACAGGGGGCAGACGGCCCCCAGCAAGACGATGAGGAGCAGGTCGAGGTGGAATCCGGAGCCTTTGACCAGACGGCGCTCCTTCTTACTTAAGATCAACCTGGGGGCATCAGAGATCGCAGTAGCTCAATGTAAACTCACAGAGACAAACTGGAATCCAGTGCCAAAAAAACCTACAGCAAATATTCACTCACATTGGGTCATATGGGCCTTTTCTGAAAGATTTCATCGTCTACCATTGACCACTTAACTTGACCGAATCATCAGTTAATCTAGGCCAGAATGGTTACAATGGACTTACGAGGTAATCTGCGTCTCCATGAAGATTAAGATGAAGACCAGCAGGGCTGGGACAGCTGAGGCTCCCATCATCCAGATGGGGAAAGGATGTTTATCCCCAAACGGGCTGATAAACCAGCCTCGCTTGTCAGGTGATGTGACTGAGAAGCCAGAGGGTACATTGATCTTCTGAAAGTACCAACATGACAGAATGTGGTTTTAAATATAATAGAGAGGAGAGAGGTAAGGAGCGAACGCTGATACAGCTCATTGCCACACCCACCTCAGGGATGAGAACCTAAGTGCAGCCCTGTGGCTGGTGATACCTCAGTACCACAACTAGTTTGAATGGCATGGAACAGGAGGAAGTTTTTTCAGGTGGCTGGAGTGTCAATGCTGCCACCAACCCCCAAATATTCCCTGAAAGTTGAAGGATCTGCTTGCAGGGCTGGATGTAGGTTAACATCATACCAAGGATGAAGCAATTGCAGGTTAAGGGCCTTGCTCAAGGGCCCAGCAAAGTAGAATCACTCCTGTCAGTCACAGGATTCGAATCAGCAAACTTCTAATCGCCTCGGAGCCACCACCATTAAATATAATGCTCACAATCAAAATATGGGTTATTTATTCATGATGTACAACACTTGCAAGCATGTACTTCAGTCCTACATTACAAAGATACAAAGGGTTAAATGGTTAGTTTGAAATAACTACATACACATATATATACACACACATGCAGGTTTGTAATTATATTTTGGTGGGGACTCTTCATTCATTTCTATGGGGAAAACCCTAATATCCACACAATGACCTTAACCCCAACCCAGCCCTAGCCTTAACCATAAGTAACCAAACAAAATATGAGACTTTTGGCATTTTTAGGTTTTTGATTGCATTCACAGATCTTCATGGGGACCTGAAAAATGGTCAAAATAGCCACATCCAAATAACAGGTTTTTTATCACATTGTGGGGGACATTTGGTCCTCACAATGTAATATAAACCTAATCCACACACACACAGACATATACTTTCCAGGATAGTCCTGACTGGATAAGTGTCTATTGAACATGAATTGATAGATGGAAAAACGATACAAACATACCATCCCATCTTTTCAGAAATACAGAAATATACAATATGGTAAATTTTATGATATATACATAAAAGATTGGACAGAAAGTAACCTGAGTGTAGGTGTCAGGGATGGCACAATCCACGATCACGGAACAGAGGATAGAGATCGGAATTCCAAAGTCTCCGATGATTCTTCTGGCCTTAACGATCAGACAATAAACACATTTTGTCACTATGACTTTCAGGTGAAAGAACAGGACACTGCTGAGAGTTTGCAGATGACAAAGATGCCATACTGTACCTTTCCACCCAAGAACCTACTGTTCCTGAACTTCCTGAGGAAGAAGGCCACAAAAAATGTCCCCAGCATCAGAACCAGGGACAGCAGAGCCGTATTGGGCTGCATAAGCATGTGACTATGGTGGTCCTCCTCATGATGTTCAACAAGGTCGATAGTAGTATGGGGGGTCACTGCTGGGTAACTCTTCAGCAATGGATGCTCCTGGAAGACCTGAAGTGGAGTTTTGTCAGGCTAAGCAAATGCTATCTGGGAAGCACCTGAGACATTCATGCAAAATCATCATCATCATCAGCAGCAGCATCATCATCATCTCATAGGTATAAGTCCAAAACTCCAAACCAGTAACACGCATCGCTTTCAGAGGTATAACTTCACCTGGATAAGCCTGGAGAATGTTTCATAGATAAAGATGAGCGAGATGAGGAAGGCGAAAATCTCTTGTGTGAAAGGGGTGATATATCGGACCAGGAAGCTGCCCTCTGCAGCCACGATGACCAAAACGATGAAGATGAGCCAAAATCCGATCCAGACTCGGGCGGTCAGATACTCAAATCCGTGAGCCTGACAAAACTGGTGGAGGGACAGAGAGGGATGAAGATTAGGAAACATGGTCTTCTGTTTGAGAGGGCAATTTTCACGAAAGACCTAATTAAGGTTCTTTGGCTAAAAGAGTCCGTTCAGCAATGACTAATAACGATAATAAATAACGCTATAGCTGGTTGTACTCTGCCTTGGCTCAGTCTCCTCTAGATTAGGTAAATGAACAAACAGCAGATTTACGTTGTAAAAAGCTTCCTCAAACACCAGCAGGGGCCCAGAGAATCCGATGATGAGCAGGGGCTGCCCAGCTAGCAAAGAAAACAACAGCCCAAGTGTGGCCGTGGACACGATGAGCTCTGACACTCCCATCATCCCGTCTGTTTTTTCTCCTGCACGGAAGGAAACGCAGAGACACAAAGAGAAAACAAATCACTCATTAATTAGACTAGTTTTTTTTTTACAAACACGCAATTTAAATTCACTGAGAAATATGAATGCTAATTTTTTGGAGCAAATTAGACATGCTGTAGGTTCATGTTTTTAATACAGGTACAAAAAACCGTTACAAATGGCTTTTGCCACACAAAAATGAGACTTAGGCGCCGCAACTTTGTCAAAACAAACTAATCTGCATTTTCTCAACGGAAAGCAAACACACCTGTCAGAGTTAATTGTTTCTGCCTGTTTTTCCACAGCCAGCACTCACCCAGCAGTCCCCCAAAAGTGATGGTTGGCGATAGCGCAGCGAAGTAGATAAATATAATGGCAGCCAAGCACTGCGTGTCCATGGAGTCCTTAATGTCGCTTACATAGTGGGGGTAACGGCGACGGATGTCATGAATCAGGCCTCCGAATGGGATCCCGGAGCGCTTAAGAGGGTCCACCTCTAGCACCTCCTCCTCCTGTTCTTCTAGGAGCACCTCTGCAACAGAATCACATTGCCCTCGCCATAATGCATGGATGTATTCAACCCCTATAGGATACCTTCAACCATGATTCAGAAACTTCTATCCTCCCACAAATTGTTGGGTTATTCTGTTCAATTTCTATTCAAGTAAAATTACTTTAGCCTACGTCATTTCTGTGCCATTACATCTAGTCCTAATTTGATGAACCATTTTAAGACCAACAAAATGTCCCACCTACACAGTGATGCATCAGAGAATGGAGAGGTAAGGAACACACTCTGATTACAGCGCATTGCCACACCTGCCACACAACAAACCACCTCAGGGATGAGAACCTGAGTGCAGCTGTGCAGTGGGTGATACCTCAGCACCACACTAGTCCAAATGGATCAAAACGAGTTTTTTCGAGAAGCTGGAGTGTCAATCCTGCCACCAACTTCCCTGTAAGATGGAGGACCTCCTTACAGGGCTGGATGTAGATTAATGTTATGCCCACAACAAAGCAATTGTAGTTTAAAGGTCTTGCTCAAGGGTCCAAAAGAGTAGGATCACTCACAGCATTCACAAGATTTGAACCAGCAACCTTCAAATTACTAGGACAGATCACTAGCCTCAAAGCCACTAATCAACCCATCAGAAATGGCCACCACTAAATCCTCCCTAAGTCACCCATACTGACGTACCCTTGGTCTCAAATTCAGACCCTGCCGTGGCATTCATGCCTTTCTTCCCCCTTTCTTTCCTCTTGCGGAGCATCTCCTTTTGGAAGGAGGACACACTCTTCAGCAGGTCTTTCCCTTCCACATCAGAGGGTGGGATCACGATGCTGCAGTCCAGGAACTCATTGATGCCATTGAGAAGGTCCTGACGGTCATCCGCGAAGTAGGCCACTTCATGGAAGCTCTGGAAGGTTTTCAGGAAGCATAAGAGCTATACTGCATGAAGAATTGTATCTCAGACAGCTACCAGTGATCATCCTCTGCATTGTCTCAATTATGGCAAAGGGACAATGGGGTGGAGGGCTATGATAACATGTGGGTGTCACACACACAAAAGAAATTTCTCTAAGCACACTTCAAGTGTGTATGGTATTATCTTGTGAACAGGGAAAGAGATAGAATGCTGTGACAGAAGACCTCAGCCACAAAGTCCTCCAAGCTAAACCCCATAGAGCTGGTCCAGAATCAGCTGGAATGAAGAGTAAGAACAACTTGTGTCCAGAACTTGTGGAAAATCCTTCAGGACTGCTGGTGAAGTATTGCAGGTGGTTACATCTAGTAGCTGGTTTAAGGAATGCCAGGAGTCTACAATACTATCATCAAAGCTAAATATGGCTATTTTGAAGAGTATAAAATTTGTGAAAATATTGAGATATTGAACACTTCTTTTGGTTGTTGCAATTTGGAATGTGTATTACTTCATTGTCTTGGGGCCTTTTACTATAAGGCAAATAACATAGTTAAAATAGAGATAATGTATTAAAAGCAGGAGTGTCCAAATTTTTGACTGGGTCTGCACAATTCATATGAAGCCTAGATACAACACGATAGGGTGTCCCTCCCAACAAAAACAAAAGGCATGTTGTAAACCCAACTCTACAGATAGAAATCAAATTACTTTTGGAGCAGCTTACATAAATAATAGGATTACACAGAACAACCAATAGCGCTGACTACAACGACAGGGGTTTTACAATACAGGCAGATATGCACAAACAATGTATGAACTTTAAAACAACTGACTGGCGCAATATGCTGAAATTAAAGCACAGGCCATGTAAGATAAAGAAATAAGGCAGAGATTAAACGGAGCGCACCTTGTCAGACATGAGAGTGGAGATGGACCGGCCAGTCTCATGATAGTCCATGTTGAAATAACTAGGTCCCAAAAGCAGGAAGAGGAAGCGGACCGGTATCGGCACCTCTAACACCGACTCGAGGAGTACGGCCTCATTAAGCCGGACAAACGCCATGGCCGGCTGCTCCAGGAAGTCCACACACCCTGCACACCAAAGCACAGGTCATCCACATGGAGCCAGTGCAGTGAGATATTCTTAACATCTGACATTACTAGCTTTAATTTAACTATAGTAAATGCTAAGAGAAAAGGGCCTGAGCACTGAGTACAAGAAGAAATCATCATCTGAAGAGCATCTTCCATAAAAAGGACCAATGAGAAGCACACTGGCACTTATAGGACCTTCCCATATTCAACCACCCATTCCATCCTTTTATAAACTTCATAATCTTATTTTGCACATGCCCCAAAACTGTTTGTATCCTACATCTGGTTGTCTCATGTTTATTTATAAGTCCACGTATTTATTCATTAATGGCATGTTTTAGTTTCTTATATGTCTACCTTATTTCCAGTCTAATTATCATATTCCATTTATTGCATTTGTTTAAATTGCTGCAACCTGCACCAAAACAAATAACTTGTACTTTTTGTACTTGGCAAATAATAGGATTCTGATTCTATAGGGCTAACAATACCAATAACAGAGATATCCGAACCCTCTAGACATTTTTAGTGGTTTGTAAAAGTTAAAACAGATCCCATCAACACCGCTAAAATTTGTTACCAGACAGCTCAAGTCTAACAGCAGGGAACATTACTGTATCACCCAGAATGCGGTCCTGCAAAAGTTAGTCTACTCCACCCTGTTGTGCATTTCTATAATCGGTATGTGTAATAAAACAGTATTTAATGCTTTACACACAACATGTATGTCTCAGCAATCAAAACCGCTGTGGAAAAAAAGGATATATATGATATTTTGGTGCCCTTGGTGGGAAACGCCCTAAGCCAGTGTGGCTGGTGACGGCTTACCCACTAAGACCACGGTGGCCTCAGCGTCCTTGGGGATCTTCGTCAGGAGTTTCATGGATCTGGCAGCCGGATGGCCTTCAGCGGCGATGGGATGGACAGCTTTCTTTCATTTGCAGAACAAAATTAACTTAAATTTGTTATTATGCGCTGCTTGATATTGATGAAATTCCACACGCAGCGTTCATGATTGCATGATGAAGGCAAAAGCAGAGACCGAAGACTGCTATGCTTGACGATTTAAACAAATACCTTTCTAATAGATGTTTGGAATACAAGTAAAGGGGAGAAATAGTGCCTGATTTTATTTTCACAGAGACAAGGCAGTAGGGTCAGTTCATGAAACATTACCAACCAGCACATCATTTTAATTAGCATTTCCCATGATCAGCCATTAAACATTTAACATTTAAAGCACAGAAAAACACCTGTAAGCTTGCAAAGGAACAAATTCAATCCGAGTAGCTGTGGAGATTTCTCTTGTCCAACTGCATATATCATGTGTGATTCTAATGGAAGACGCTACACCATATTATGCTGCAAAGAATGGATGGTAGGACAGCACCTGGATGTATCGTGCCAATCCTGACGCCCAGTTCTCAAATGCTTTGGGCCAAAGTCAAACCTCTCAATCTCTAAGATTTCGTTAGTGATCTCTGAAGACCACAGACCTTCCAGAATTCCATGAACAAGTTGTTCAGTAGTACAAGCTGACAGGCATTAAACATGGAGAACCCACTTTTATTCAAGATGACTTGAGGCACCACAGATACACTGTACGATTGGCAGGAGACTCACAAACAAGCTCACAAACACCTCTTGCTCAGGCTCCTGAGGCTTGCTCTCCTGATGCTCAGTTTGGTATTCGGCCACCGGGGGCAGCAGAGGCTCAGGCGCGTGGTTGTGGTTGTGATGGGAGCTGCCCATCCCGTGGACCAAGCTGTTGTGGGGAAAGAAGCCTTCCTTTTCATCATTGGGGTGGCTGTAAGAAAAGCCGTTTCAAAGCACAGAAGACAGATGTGAGCTTTCTCAGCGCTTCACTGTTTCCACCGCAGCCTTCTTTGTGGTCTCACCTGTAAGCCACCAAGGGGGATGGAGAGACCAGGTCCAGCCACGGTATAAATTACATCAACGATGCTCAAGCACATCATTCTAATACATCTGGGTGGCTTTTCAATATCTAAAACAGCATAATGAGTTCATGCCACTGGCACTCCTCGTCTTTATGTTTTCTATACAGTATATGATGCCAAAAAAAGTGCGTAAATCCCGTAAATTTTCACCAGATGTACTGCTGGTCTATACATTAGTTCTTAATATATTTAAATTATTTAGACATGGGGTTAGCCTCTAACTGGCTAGTTCACCATGCCCAGTTAAGACTATTTATCTTACTTTATCTTTAACTCTAAGCCCATTATTAACAGAGATTGACCCCAGTGATATTTATCAGTTTAGTTTTTGCATCATGCCTAAAAATGCCCCTTAGTTTTGGCTATATTCACAATACAGCAAAGCCTACTATGTCTTATATATATAATGAAAAAAAATCTGAAATTATTTAAATAATAATTTCACTGATTTTGGGGGAAAAATAAAATTGCTATAAAATTACTGGACAGAGATGCACCAAGGCCCTGACAGTGGGGGGCATCAGTGTTTTCTAGTCCAGCGGATTATGTCAGTATCTTCAAAAAGAGCAAGCAAGTCCCATTACACACCTGTTTAGGTGCAAAAACCAAGGGAATAGGTGTGACACAGGGCAGCTTTTAAAGCACCGTGATCCTTGGGGGGGTGGGGCAAGTAAGCGTCAGGTGCAGTCACACTCCTCCTTGTTGCTGTTCTTCCCACACTGTAAATCCATATCTGGGAAGCGATTTACTCCACTCACGTTCTCACGTAAAAATGCTGCGAGATGCTGGGTGGGAAGTATCGCTGGGTCGCTGCTGGAGGTGGCATGTGTCTAGGTACCGTAACGGAGCACTAATCAGGGCCGGGTAGCGTGTGGGTCTAATGTGGGCTGGCGTGGCGGTTCAGAGCGAGCCCCCTCGGAGCGACTTGCAAGCTCTGCCGTCTAGCTAAAGATTAGGCGGGACCAGAGCACACCCGTCACAAATGGTGCTAGGGGGGAGTGGGGGTCAGATGCCTCGGTTTGGCAGCCGCGGTGGAGCTGTCACTAGGTTTAAAGGCATTACGTGTGTCTGCCCCTCCCCCCCTCGACACACACTGTTTCATTGCAACAGGGGTCATGTTTGTTTGCTTGTCCCAAACAAAATCCGTGTCCTCTTGCCATGATCTATAAAGACAAGGCATTTTCCACAGAGGATCGTCCGTCTATATTTATACCATTAGCTATAAATATTTAGATTGCAGCCGACACATGTGAGTCAGCGCCACGCAAAGCTGGCTGCCATGGGAATGACGGGGATTGTTTCCATTTACCCCAAATACTGAGCATGATGACAAGCACACTTCAGCATGAACCAGAGGTATAAAAAGAGAATATATAACAACTAACTGAAAAATCAGCTATGATAATACAAATATGTTGCATTTTGACCCATAACCTGCCCATCTGACACATGATTTGTCCATATTAGCAAATACACGCAGCCTTTCCGAAAACATTCATCAGCATTGAATCAAATTGAATTTATTTAAGTGTACAACTTGTTAAATTATATATTTTGTCAGTCTGGGGCGCTGTCATGATTTCCTGTAGACATGCGTGCGTGTTAGTGTCCAGAGAGATTGCCAAACCCTGGATTATCCCTGTTGGCCACTCTGACGAGGACCCGAAAAGTGCTGGATAAAGCAAAATATATGGATTGCATTTCAATTGTATTGAAATAACAGGAAGCATGGACACACGGGTGCACTGCGAAACCAGTACTGTGCTACTTTCTGTTTATTTCTGCAATTTTACATGATGTAACTGTGAACTCTGAAACTACCATTATGTATGGACAACTTATCGTTGCACCATTTTTAAATGTAATGTTACTTCTTCTGCTCTACTGTCTACTTTATTATTAGTAGTATGTGTGAAACACTAATATAACCTCCTACCTCATTCCATTGTGCTTGTGCACAATGACAATAAAAGTTGACTTTGAAAGAACCAGGCCAGGCCAGGTACTCAATACTGACCTGTGTTTGAGGAGCAAAGCCCGGAGAACATTGGCTCTGTCTTCTGGCTTGATATGATCAGAGATGATCATGGTCTCCACTATCTGGTGGGCAATGCCCGGCAGTGTGGTCTGCTCCAGGTCCAATAGCACGGTGCCTGGGAGGGGACAAATTTTGACATTGAGTCAGAAGCCAACACTTCTTGACTGTTGACTTAGTTGTGTACAATGGCAGTTTGAAACTTCAGAATACAGGAAAGGAAGATGGTATGGGAGCAGAGGAAGGAACACAAAGGACAGCTGTTCTGGCTTAAGCAAAACATGTACAACAAGTAGGAAAAACAACATGGCCATCCAAATATCAGGTCAGGTCAGGTCAGGTTGGGGAGCATGCGCTGATGCAGCACGTTGCCGCGCCCACCACATGGCAAAACTCCTCAGAATCCCTGCTGGCGACCCCCCCAGGCAGACACATGGTCCAGTCCCACCCTCTGGAAATGGCCATCCATCTGCTGCAGCCAGGTGTTACGTGGGTGTCCCCTCAGCCTGGTCCAGCCGCCCAGGTCCTCAGCAACGAGGATCCCACGAGCCGGATCACCCTCAGGGAAACGCGCCACGTGGCCATAGTGCCGTAACTGATGTTCCCTCCCAATGCAGGTAATGTGCCTCATTCATTCTAGCAACCACTCATTTGACACAAAGTCAAACCAGCAGTACCCAAGGATTCTCTGAAGAGACACGGTACTGAAGGAGTCCAGTCTTCATCTCAGCTCACTGGATAGCGTCCATGTCTCACAGCCATACAGCAAGACAGGGAGCACCAGGACTTTAAAGACTTGGACATTCATCCTCTTGCAAATATATCGGGAGCGACCACATGGCCCCTCATGCTCTCTCAGTCCATCTACTGACTTCATAGGAAGAGTCACCAGAAACATGAATGTCACTGCCAAGGTAAGTGAATCTCTCGACAAGGTCGACATTCTCCCCACAGACAGAAGTCATTAAAGGCCTGGGTCTTGGTTTTTTTTCCAGGACACTCTCAATCCCAGATACTCAGACTCCTTGCTCAGTCTTTTGAGAACCCTGATCAGAGCCTCCATTGACTCCGCAAAGATCAAATATGAGGGATGAATATGTTGTATTTGGTTTGCTGGGGCCCAGAAAGAAAAAACAGTTCTATATTATTAGTAATGCAGCAGCATGTTATTTAAGAGCGTGACACATGACCTTGCCCCCCTCCCAGGACAGCAATACCCTCCCACCACTCACACAGAGTGGATCTTGAACCTTCTTGTCCTGACCCACAAACAAAAAAAACACAATATCTGAACCTCTGGCCCAAGAAGAAGCATGATTCTGACTAGTGGATGAAAATACCAACTGTAGTCATCATTACAATATGAGATGTGGACAGTCCTCACCATGAGTGATGGTCCTCCGCAGGTCAAGCAGGCTACGGAAGGTCAGGGAGGCCACATGAGGCTTTCCCCAGCGGTCTGTCTCCTCCTCAACATCCTCCTCAAACTTAATCCAGCGAGCCCTCTCCTTCCAGTGCATGTCCTGGTTCTTATCCACGATCAGTTCGTTCAGCTCCACAAACACCTGGCCAAACAAACGCATAGATCCAGATCTGAAGGGTAAACATACACGCACATCAGACTGAGCGTTGTTTTACTGGGGCGATAGTATATCAAATAGACCTTATAATTTTGAAGATCGGGTTACTACAAGAGCTTGGCTGATTATCAAGGCAGACATCTGAGTTGTAAAGGCAATACGAAGGCTAGAGTAAACATGCAGAGAAAATAAAACCTCTGAAGTGATTAATTTGGGGTTTTTGTGATTAATCCCCAACTTTGATTTGATGTCGATACCCAGGAAATGGATCAATAGGTGGTTGCCAAGAGCCGTGGCCTGAGTAAGCTGCCTAGGCCCCATTGTTTAGAACTATTAGCAGATCTTATAATAAATATTGAAATTGGCTTGTGTAATGCAGTTGGGAACTCAAGCTCCAAATTTTCCACTGCAGGCGATCTGCCCATGCAATTAATTTTCTCAGGATTAAGCAGCACAGTAAACAGTTTGCCCGAACTGGAAGATAAGCATACTGGCAGCTCGCCTTAATAAAACAGTTTCGTATAACGCTTTGGATAATGCGGGTGTCCTCAGGCAGCTGGTACGCAGATCAGAGGAGGTCTCACGTCATGTGTCTTCCTGTCCGACTTTTTCTTCTTCCGAACGCCGGACCTAGGAGGCGAGCTGGTGCTGCACCGTGTCACCTGACTACGGGACGACCTTTTCACCAGGTGACGCCTCACTCCCGGGTTGTCCTCAAATCGGTGACCTTGCAGCAGCGTCAAAGAGAGAATGCGGTAACTCGTGCAGCCATTACGTAGAAAACTATATAGGAAGTTAAGTACGATTAACGAGGAGCATCACACTCACGTGAGCCAACAATCGAAGCAACCGTGCCTCTCAACAGTAACACAGCCAATACAGTAACAATTAAAAGCAAATTTCCTCCATATTCGTTGTTAATTGGTAGAGCAATTTTACGCATCATCTTATATTCCGCAGTAAAGTTTATATTTAAGAAAATTATACACAATAACCTGAAATGAAGACACAAGAAAGACATTATTATTATTGTATGGTTTGTAAAACAGGCTTAAGATAAAATGCTGTTTCATTTCAGATTCAGTTATTGAAACTGGGACTATACAGAGGGTCAATCTGTGGCTTGGTCAGCTGTGTTCTCAGTGAAGTAGTGGGGTTAGAGACCTCACTCATGTCACAGGTCACAGCTGTCTTGCATTGTCATCGTGGCCACAAGGGGAGTGCTCAACACAGCTTAGGAAAAAAAAGAATATATTTTGCAACTCATCATTTTCCCCGTCTTTCTGACCTTGGGTTAAGTTTTTCCCCTCTTTGTTTATTTGTAGCTCAGAGTAAGAAGAGCCTCCTTCAGATCTACGCTCTCTTCCAAGAATACGCCGTGCATCGCATGACGACTGAGACGCGGAGGTGTTTAAGTTTAGCGTAGCCAACGCTGGAGGGCACCACTTTTACATTTTATTCACTTAGCCAAGGCCCGCTAAGCAGAACAACAGCCATGGACAATATGAAAGGACACTAACAAAAACAGAATCAATATTTACCAGTCAAGTAACATGCATCGATGAGTTGTAACAGCATCCAGTATAATTATAAAATATATAACTTCAGGAGGCTTTACAAATATATCCCATTATAAATGCTATCGGGTTTTACATAAAAATGCTTCTAAACAGGAATCAATTGCCAGCAAAGGCTTCAGATAGAAGTTTGGGATGAGGGCACGCACAGACAACAACCGCTGCAAGTAACGTTCATGCTGGTACACAGTCCTGTGAGAATATCACACTTAGTTTATTTAGAATGCACTTTTACCCAAAGTGACAGACATTTTTGAGAAAACAGGCTCAGCCAGTCCCTGGAGCAACGAAGGTTTAAGGGCCTTGCGCCCAAGGGCCCAACGGTAAAACCACACCACTGACCCTGAGATTTGAACCAGCGACCTTTCAATCATAGGTGTAGTATTCTATTCAACTAAGGCACGCTCCATCCCCATGATACTGAAAAGGTGTGAGAGCAAGGCATGGTACTGGTACCACTGTTCAAATAAGTTCTTGGAATTTGCCTTAGGGGGAACCAAGTGATTACAACTTTCTGTAAGTAAGAACATAAAAATAGCCTGGATACCTAATTATCCATAAAAATCTCAACCTGCAGAATGAGCCAAAATGGATGTTCCTTAATGTCTCTATTTAGTCCCTGTTTCTAAGAGCTAAAACCCCCTACTCATTAAGCTTCAATTTCAGCAATATAATGACCACCATAAATGCTATGAAAAATTGTCACTGAAAAATACATTCACGCTTGGAAGCTCCAATTCCATGTAGAAGACCACGCCGGGAACACAAGAACCTGTAAGGGCCGGGAACACAAGAACCTGTTTCACCCAGAGACCTAAAAGGATTTGATTACTGCATAAGCGAATCGGAGAATCGGTTTGACAGTAATTGGCTTCTGTTTTTCTCCAAGGTCAATGGAACAGCTGACTTTAAAATCCCTCTAATCAATGGGCATATTCAGGCTGAATTACTTCCTGCCACATCAGAATCTCAGGCACATCCATTAAGGGTCTTATTACAGTTACAGACAATTTTCCTCCATTGTATTACTTTTTACGACATCATTACCTGCTGATTCTAAGCAATTACAGTAAGAAATGCATCAGCTAATTGTTCCGTCACTGTGAAATTTACTATTCAATGGACTGACACAATGTCCAACATTTCTGAATCAAAATTTACTTCAGATCGAGATTGAAATCGCTAAAAGGCTGCTCTGGACACATAGTGGTACTCCTATACATCAGCCTAATTATTTGATCTTGCCATCATTTTTAAACATTTCAGCACAAAAAAGAATCGGTGTCCTCAAGTTCTTCAATGACAACTTACAAGAAGGTTCTGGACTTGAGCCCAGGTGGGTGTGAATTGATTCCAAAAGATCATAGTCCTCAAAATCCAGCACAAACTCCTCAAAGTCTTCAAACCCCTCCAGAAGGTATCTTTCCTCCTTGCACTTGCTTTCTCTTCGCCCCTCCCTGCCTATAAGTGACCCACGGCCTGAGCCTGTGCGATCTGCTGACTCCTCTCCAACTTCCATTATCTCCTTGAATGGTGCCTCCATTCTCTGAATGAGAGCCTCGACCATCCAGGGTTCCCGCTTCTTGTGCCACTTGCTGTTAGGCCCGGACTCAGTAGAGCTGCTTGACAGAGCTCACCATGAAGGATGTCTATTGCCGATATTAGCTAGAGCAGGACGACTGTCCACAGACTGTTGGGATTTGGGATTCCGCAGCTGGTGCTACAACCGAAAAATTATTTAAAAAAAAGAATAAATTAAGCTGATAAACTTTTTTGCTTTGCTGTTGATATTATTCTCAAGCAAACTATACCCAACTGCACCCACCTTGCCTCTGACACAGAGCTTCAGTAATAAAAATGTTAGTTAATCTAGATCAGAGGAAAAAAATACAGGGTACCGCCTTGTCCTGTTACTGAAAGAAACTGAGGATGGAAAATGCAGTTATGTCCTATTTGCAGGTAAAGTCTCAAGGCTAAAAAGGAAGAATAGAACAAGAGGTCTGACAGTTTATGTGAGATGACACTGAACCTAAACATTCCACTTTGGCATCCACTGGGTAATGCAGGGACACTAGCAGACACAAGTAGGGACAGCTAGGTCACAGTTTGGGTATACCCCCTCCCCCACCCCCCACTCCGCCCAGTAGGTCGATTGGCTTGCAGGATAGTCAGCTGTCTGAATGGTCAAGCACTAGTTTCCATCACATTGCCCATCGATCTAACGCTCATTTGAGGACCGTGATTTGAGTCAGGAGTGTCCTCTAATTGTTACACGGTGAGGGCTGCTCAGCTGACAGTCGCCATGATTCAGGATCAGTGCCATGAGTGGCATTCTCATCTGAGGCAGATGGTGATAGATAAGAGGGGCATACAAAAGGAGAGCCCATCCAAGTGTGAGGTCCCTAGTGTGTGAGCTCTCTTTAATGTTTCACCAGGACTTATCTTGGAATGTCTCATTCAACTGAATTAGCTGCCAGAACTACAAAAAAAACTTCTTCAGGGCTCCAAACTTTCAAAGAGCATTTTCACATGCTTTTGGCTTCCAGGCAAACAACCAAGTAACTCTCATAACCATTTGACATACCCGAATATCACTGCTTATTAATTAAATCTAAATTACATTTTTGTTTAAATTGCCTAAAATTTTTTACTTGGCTGGTTTGCTTGTACAGCCGGCCTGAGCTCACAGCCACACCCACACACACTCATACACAATGAGGGGAGAAACAACATTCTTCTTACAAACCCAACAGTTTAAATCCTCATACTGGTGAAGGTATAATCAGTTTCTGAGAACATTCTAGAAATGCTGTTCAAGGCTGAAACACGCCAACGATAAAATGCTAAAATGGAATGTAAATCAATGCAATAAGTGACAAATTAAATTTATGTCGCTGAAAATCAAAAATATCTCAGCTTAATTTACATAACCCAGCACCAAATCCTGACACTTTAATGTTTTAAACTGACTGCTTTTTCTTATGGGGGAGAGCGAAAATGGACAAGAGCTGTACAATGTTTTTATGGCCTGGGTATAAGAAAAATCCAATTTCGGCCCGACACAAGTCCTGGTTCTAATTCTGTGTGACTTGAGCAGTCAATGATTCTCGCTCTCTAAAAGCAGGAAATGCCACGGGCAGAGCATCTGATAATCAATCAGAACCCCCAGTTTTAATTATCACTGGAGGCCAGCTGACTGAGCTTAAAGTCTCTTTGCCCAATAGTGCAAACTAATTAGGACACAGAAAAAAAATCATTTGTCTTGCTGCAAACGATACGAAGGCAAGGGGTGGGGGGGGGTAGACTGTCACCATTTCTAAGAAGATTCTTTAGTTGCACTGTTCATTTCCTGCTCTTGTTATAAGATGATTATCCTCTTACGTGTTTCTCAAAATAAAAGGCGTACTGCCACATTTATTGGTGAAGTGAGTTTGATTGAACCAATGGCAGCACAATTTGTGTTTCAGTTAATCAGCAAACTGAACTCTTTGCTTCCAGCTCACACAGACGTATGTGTCCATGATGACATTGGCTGAATCGCTTGCATGCTGCAGGTCCGACACATACAGCTACACACGATGTTCACAGACGCGACAGTTCATCCTCGCCACATCAGGATGCCGGTCTGCACCCCCAGTCCTTCCATAACCGCTTAGCTTAGCTGGTGCATGGTTAGCTTAGCTGATTTACAAGAGTGCCAACAGCTTTCAGAAGCGTGTCGGCCCCATCCAACATCTGGGAAACAGGACTGGGCCATAGAATAGGGTCAAATACTCTGCTACGTAGGGCAAAAACTGAGCCTCCCAGGAAAAGTCTGTAACACAAATGTGAAATGGATCAAGGCATGTACAATTAAGGGGCAGCAAGGAGACTTTTGAGGGTAAATACTACATAAAAGCAACACAGACCTAGGTAAATAATAAAGCTTTAAAACACAATAACCCATTTACTGATAGAGAACAGAATACTGAACAGAACATACTGTGCTCATTTGGACACTTTTTAGATCCTAAAATAAAAGAACAGTCCCTTGGCTCTTCCAAGTTATTTGCTACTTGGCTTTTTTGTCTGTGGCAATAGTTGTAACTTATTCGATCAGGACTGCATTATGTACGACGGTAGCGAGTGGCCACAACTTCTAATTGAATGTATCTGCCGGTTTGAAGCCACCCCAGCTCAAGACGGGACATCCTTATCTCTAAGCCTGTTTAATGAAGTGAAATACAGAGTCCCGATCTCTGCCCCCACATTCCAGCTGCTGGAATGTGTGGTTTAGCCAGTGTTTACTTTAAAGGCAGCAAATAGAAGGCATTACAGATGACCTTGGTGCTGCACTCTCAACCAAAACAAATTTATGAGCGTGCGGAGTCCACTCAGAACATTCCATTCGGTTTCACCGCTGAGCAGAAGGCCCTCCGAACCAGCGCCCGCTGTCCGCAAAGCAAACAGTGCGTCGACAGCTACCGTTCTCGTACCCGCTGTTATGCGATGCTCTTCCACGCCGTGTTTTTATTTTACTGGGAAGTAGTGCGGAATGGCGGTTTGGGCCAGTGGTCTCTGGATTGGAGTACTGAGGGTTCAGATGCTGGTTAGGACGTTCCTGTCAGCTTCTATAACTAGACACGTCCACGGATAAAACCCAACTTTAAAAGTATTTCCCAAAACTGGCTGGCATTTGCTTCCTCCTCGGCTAAATTGGTTTAAACCATATAAACCTAATACACTGCAAGGCTGGGATGTTAAAGTTAATTCCAAACTGCTGGTAACTATAATTAGAGCAATGCACCATGGGAAAACAGAATACCAGCAAGAATAGCTTGGTTCCTGTGCAGAAGACCATGATGGCCCTTACTCTTCATGTCGTCCAGGTCCATGGTGGCCAGCATCTGGGCCTCTGCCTCATCAGTGGGCACCTTCTGGTACACAGCGGTTTCTGTACTGGTCATGCTGCCGATGCAGACACGCTCCCGCAGGTCATAGCTAGCCCTCTGGGGCCCCATCTGCCGGTACATGGGCTTTTTGTGGAACCAGGTTGGAGTGGTCTCTCCAGAAGGTTCCAGAATGTCCAAGAACCTGCAGGAAATGAGATGTGGTTAAAGAAGCTCAATCTGACCTGGCTCTATAAGATGCTGTGTGTGTATATAATGCTGTTGTAATTTGCTGTTCTCAGATACTGAGTTTGATATGCAAATGCACCATTTATGACTGGTGGCAATGAAGGGGAACCCGTCTGCTATTTGATCCTAGGGCACCATTTGGTGCTGTTAGACTCCAGGGACAGTAGGGGGAGCTAAAGCACAGACTCATACACAAGCCAATCGTTCTGCATCTAATAAGCAATCTGTAACTGTCAGAAGCTGCTGTTTGTAATTATGTACAAGGAACATTTTGTTTTTATGTTGCCACAAACTGATTTGCTCAGATATTTCTGTCATCTAGTCATATTTAGTTAAGCATCAAAATATGACAAAGACTTAAGCTGCTACTTTAATCAAGTTACACACTGACAGGGATAATATATCCTAGATATCAACAGCAGAAAGCAATTAGTTGATTTATTCAATTACTTCATGGTTTGGCTACAGCCAATCCTCTATCCCCATTGAATTGTCCCCAATGGATCACCATCTACTATCTGCATAACTACAGGAAATGTACAGAATGGTTCTGTACGGTCCGGCTTGGACTGGTCTTGGCTTACCTACTGGGGGCCTCGTTGTCTTGCCTCTGTCCATTTTGCTCCAAGCCTGCATTGCTGTTCTTGGCTGCATCCGAGCTGGGAAGGCACTCGTCCTCCATATGGAAGCTGGCGAAGGCAAGGGGCAGCACCAGGTCCTCTTCATCTCTTAGGCTGGACTGCAAAGACAAGGCAGATGACTGCCAGATGCCAGAACAGCTCACCAAGGCGTGTGATGCAGCCAGCAGAGGAGTAGGTGTGGGCACCAATAAAGAGTGCAGCGAAAAGAAATCTTGTAGATAGTGTAGATACCCAACACCTTTACTGATCTTAACCTGTAGTATGTGATCAACTAAGTTCTCATCTCACGCTCAAAATAAAGTGCATACTTTACATACACAACTGTGATAATGATAGAGATTTAACTGAGATTGTGCTATATTACAAGACTGTCCCTCAAGATACCCACTTGATTTAAAGAGCACTGGCCCCCTCTGGTGGACAGAACAAGACAAGACAAACAGTCAAAAGCTGAACATCTGCAGGACCCTAAGTTTAAAAAACTGCCTGTAATTGTTTCATTTGTTTCTTGTACAAGGGGGTCAGGATCTGCGAGGGAAGCTGCTGGAAGCGGCTAATTCCACTATGTACCTCAGGGTGGCTGTGCCACACTCTACTCAATCCCTTTATTCATTTACATCAATTTACAATTATATTCAGTTTCATAATTAATTTGAATCATTGGGTCCTGCTAAACAAAGACAAACATGAGAGAGTTAAAACAAACTGGAAATTTTCTAAGAGACCAATAAAATATTTCGGTAACACCTTCTATGAATGCCACATCTCTAAGAATCAATGAAATCCTTCATAATGAATTATAATGTATTCATAAAGCATTATAAACATGGGTATAAATATTTATAAAAAGGCATAAGCTCTTATGAAGCTCTCATCTATAATACACTATAAATACCTTCATAATGCACTACAAAGAATCCTTAATTCAAATATTATAATGCATTATGAAGGTATCTATAGTGTGTTATAGGTGAGAGCTTCATTGGAGCTTAGGAGGTAGCATAGTCAACACTATAATGCCTTATGACTGTCAATAAAAGATGCTGTAATGCTTCATTAATTCTTTTACAGGCCATTATAATGCATTAATAAGGTATCTATAATGCATTATAGATGGCAGCATTAAGTAAAGTGTCACCAATCCATCTTTTCACACATTGGCCACTGGTCAACAGCGATGTCCTCTTTTCCAGGTCTACCTTCAGGCCTTCATCCTCCAGCTCCGTCGGAGTCGCCACCTCCGCTTGTCCCTCGCCGTCGGATTCCGCTTCCTCCTCGTCCACCTCGTGAATGGTGGGCGTGAACTCGGAGGGAGGTATAGAGGTCCTCCTCTTCTTGCGCTTCTTCTTCCTGCGCCGATCGGAGCTGAGCGCCCTCTTCCGGAACCGCACCGGGGGTGGCAGGTGGGTGGATAACGGGTGGTGGATGTGATGGAATGTATGTCTGTGGTCTACAGGAGAGGATGAACAGACATAAACTTCCAGCAACACCTTCCAGCAGACCCTTCCCCCAGAAAACATCTCTCCTCACCTGTAGATATATTTGGAGCTGAGCTGCTAGGACAAAAAAACACTGAGCTTTGAACATATTTATTGGGTGTATGCTAATAATAAATATTTAACTATTTCCTCCTGCGGTTTTCGGGTTGAGCCTTAAGGGTTCCGTTCTTGGTTTGGCTTTGAAATCCAGAGTATGGGGTGTCTTTAAAGCTTATGTCCTTATGTTGTTCCTGAATTGTAGTTTAATTTCCAGCTGTCTCTCTATTTCAGGCACATTCCACAGCATGTCCTTTGCATTATGAATTCACTTGTGCAGCCAATACCTGAACAAAAGGACTGCGGGCTTATTGCTGGTGATATGTAAGCAAACATGGTGTTGGATTGATAGAATTCCAGAAGCCACAATTCACTAAACTGCATGTCTTTGGACTGGAGGAAACTGGAGTACATGGAGAAACCAACCCGATACAGAGAGAACATGCAAACTCCGTACTGTTATATTCACGCATCTCATATAAGTCACAATAGTGTAAGTGCTGTTGTTCTGAAATGAATACCATTTTCTCAATAACTCACTCCAGCTCCATGGAAAACACTTCTGTGAGTTATTCATTTATCTCTCCAAGATGCTTGTAAAGCATGAAGCTACATTATTTCTGAACAGATAGATGAACATGACAATTACACTCAAAGTCCTTCTCGTTGTAGCTGCGGCCCATTTTTTCACCGTTGACGCTGGCAGACTCCGAGATGATGTCTCCAAACCTCTCCACAGAAAGGGCTTTCTCCCAGTCCTTTTCTTCCTGTCCATCACCGGAGTCTTTCTCCTCCTCCTCCACAGGCAGGGTCTAGACCACAAGTCACAATATGAGAATTAGAGATGCTCCGATTGATCGGCAACAATTGAAATCAGCTTAAGTGTTTCAGTCTTAATTACTCGACCGGCCGCCTTTACACTGACCCATCTCCAATACTGATTTTCCGATTGATGTATAATTAGCGACGCTCCTATCCATTAACCACTGATCATAATCTGCCAATATTCATTCTAAATAGTTTGATCAGAGCTCTCTATAAGGGCAGATCAGAAGAGCCAATCAGATGACAAAATATATGAGACATGTCAGTATCAGTATCAGTATTGGTCAATTTTGATTCCAGTGATCGGCATTCAGTGACTGGCCTCAAAAATACTGACTGGAGCAATCTTTGATGTCCATAAGGTAAACTACTTTCCAACAACGGTGTCTCACCAGGTGAATGGACACCACACCAGAGAGGGAGAGGAAGGGTGATTTTTTTAAAGGTGGGAGCATAAGAGGGGCCATAATTCATACAAGGTGGCCAACCTTATCATTAGCCAATGATGTGTTTTGAATAGGGAGGGGAACTCTGGTGGCCAATCAGCTTTCAGGTAGAGCCAGTGCCCCTGTGGCCCCGCCTCTTTATAAATCCCTGGGGAGGGAAGATGTAGAAAGAGAAATGCTAGCATTCGGAGACTGCATGATATACATGTTTATGCAAGCTGATGTGAGCTAGGACAGACATTAAGGCACCGATGTCTGCAGGGGTACAGATCCTGTGTGGAGGCTTACTCTCCGATTGGTAAAGGTAAGCGCACTGCATGATGGGAGGATGGCCCTCTCAGCCCGTCCCCCGCCTTTGTTTCCTGCTGTGTGTCACGTGCAGTAATGACAGGCCTGCTGTTTGCACCCTGCCCCGAGTTCAGGCCTCTTTTATCTCAGCTTCTGAGAGCAGCAGGCCAGCGGGCTGATGGGGGTGTAGTTGGTGGTGGCCACGAGGAAGCTCAGATCCGTCACAGGAAATGTCACACTCCAGCTGGGGGAAGCCGGCCCCACGTGACAGGCAACGAGAATCCAGATATGGGAGCGCAGGTACGCGACGTGTGCCTTTGATGCAGCGGACTGCGACTGACAGGCACCCCCCGATATACCTGCCATATTGTGTAACGGGGGAGGCAGGATGATCTGATGGAAAGGAAAGAACTGCCTCAACTGATATCCAGAGAGTGTGACCACTGCAGAACCTTAGCATCAGAAACTTCACACGCAACAGAGTAAAAACAGACATATGTATGTATAAATTATACAATACTAGGCAACCAAAGAAAATGATGTTCAAATAATCTTCATGTTGGTGTAAAACTATGCTATTAAACCTGTTAAAGCCATTTCAATACTTTTGCTAAAATCACACCTGTATTTGCAGCAACCATCCAAATACACCCATGCATTTTTTGACTCAACGACTAGCACACCTCATAAAGCTAATCAATGTCTCATTGACTTTTTCAACTATTAAATTAAATTAATGGATGGAATGGCTGGGGTGGCCCTGAGGAGAGGTACTCAAGCGGTGTTCATCTAGCCATCCAACTAGATATCAGCGACTTGGAGAACAGAAGAAATTCTTGTTAGTGGTTATTGTGTTGGGCATACATTCTAATACTAAATTGTGTTTTTCGTTCTGAGCAAAAGTGCACTACGCAAATAAATAGCTTTAAATATTCCTTTTGACTGCCTAAGACTTTTGCACAATACTGTATGTGTATGTGTGTGTGTGTGTGTGTATTAGGTTTATATAATATTTATATTTATATATTTCTATTATCTTATGTTATATTTATATATACCAAATGTCCCCCACAATGTAATAAAAACTTTTTGACATTGTGGGGACCATTTTTCAGGTCCCCACAAAGATCTATGAATACAATAAAAAATTCCAGAAGTTTTGGATTTTGTTTAGTTATACTTAAGATTGGGGGGGGGGCTGTTATGTTGGGATTAGAGTTTTCCCCATAGAAATTAATGGACAGTCCCCACAAAAATATAATTACAAAAATGTGTGTGTGTGTGTGTGTATGTGTGTGTGTGTGAGTGTGTGTGTGAGAAGTATCTGACCATGCCCCGGAACTAATTCATCAAACATGTAAATGTCCTTGGTGAAAAAAAGTGAATTTCATGTTGAAAAAACATGACAGCAAAAAAAAAACAGTCCTACAGCAGGATACAGTCACCCAGCCAAACTGCAATTCAACAAGTCATTTGTAAATGGCTGCATCCATCCGTCATGTAACCGCTGGTCAGGGTTGTGGTCCTAAAAGTCCTTAAAAATAGTGTGTGGGATTCAGATTTTACTAGTACTCCAGAAATAGCCGAGAGCAGCCTAATCATTAACACAACAGATGGCCAAGGTAGCAAAGTTAATGTGGTTATGAGGCATCTTTAACTGAAGAGAAATAAAACATTGCTCTTTGTAGAATGCTCCCCTCTGTTTTTACATGAATTAATAAAATCCCGCCTTTTCATTAGGCATGCGCTGTTGCACTTGAGTGTTCTTTCATCTTTATTCAATTATTGACTTTGAACTCATCTCTACACTCCATTTTACTACAATCAGTACAACCTTTGAAATGCACCTCTGTACCAAACTGAAGATGAACGAGGGATGTCTTTGCATATAGCTGGGGCTTAGAAACCATATTGTGCTTGACACCGAAAACAAAAATTCACTCAAAGCACCTGCACTTAAGGCTAACATAGGTCCGGTTTCCCCGGACACTCGGTCCTCTTTTTGGGCTCCTGTCCAGACATCGGGGCAGTTTTTGAACTGTATGACCCAATGTTGCAAGTTACAGTAGAACAAAGTTAAGGAAAAGGCACCAATTTTCAATATATGACAGCCACTCTGTCTCTGTCTTGAATGATATGCACAACCCTGCGTGTCACACTGCTCACGAGTGACGTCAAATTCCAGAAAGTTTTTGGAAGTTGACATCAATTAAAAACTTTATATTTATGAGATTTTGTGAGCGACAGAGCATATCGTTTTTCTCCTTACCACATCTGGTAACCCTACCTGCACTTCACCTTGCTCATAGCACAAATGATTTAAATGAACAAAATCAATACGTCAGGCAACCTGATAAAACTGCGTTTGAATTCAGTGGCAATGTGCATGCAAAAATCTGCATGACTTCCCACACCTGTGCATCATGTCAGCGCACAAACAGAACAAAAACCCAGGCGATTTCAGGGAGCTGCTCTCCCTCTAAAACTATGGGAGACAGACAGAAGCAGCCCCATCTGTACTGCAGAAAAACAGAAGGTCGAGGGATGGCTGGGGGGGGGCGGGCGAGCATGCATGTGCAAACAACACCTGTGCACTCCTGTCTTCCTGAGGCCAGATTCTGGGTGAAACTGGGGCTGTGGAACAGTCTGTCAGGATTCATCTCCATCACACAACAGCATGGTGGCAGGGAAGGGAAAAAACACCGTTTTGTTACATGCTTTTATGAAGACATTCTGGTCTATAAAAAAAAACCAAACGTTTTTCAGCAGATGCCGAATTGCAACATCATCAAATTTGCAAGGTTCCCGGAAAGAAACACTACAGGCATCATTTGTATCATCGTTAGAAGATAATTTCTGTTATTGTTCATGCTATGAGCTCAGTATCTTTGTCTCGCAGCACAGGGTTGCAACCAAAACGGACTGATTTTCAGAGGAAGCACACCGACAAGGCTGCTTTGGCCTTTACCATCACACATGCTTAAACAAAGACCCAGCATTACCTTGATGTAGTCTGGCTGTGTCTTTTGAAAATTCCTAAGCATGAACCCTAGCCTGATTTAGTGGCCTTTCTGCTGATGTAGTAGTACATGCTTACTTAATGCATTAATTAATCAGTAACTAATGCTCGTTCATCATTAAGAAATCATGACAGTTAATTTATTCCATTCAGGTGCTGTATTAGTTAACAGTTAACTAATTAGTTAATAATGGGAAGACCTCGAGGGAGAAAAAAATTACTTAAGTCATTTATTACTCAAGAACAAATCATGAACTAATATAGGTTTCCCCATGAAATACATGAACTATCAAAATTGATTAATGATGAATGAACATGGGATTGGTACTTGACAAACACTTAATTACTGGTTAATTAATGCATTAACTCAGTGTGTACTACTACATCATTCATGTCCCCTTAAGAAAAGTGTTCCCCTAAAAAAACATTAATAGAAACAGACAAATTTAGAAAAAAAAACAAACCCCCAAATATAGCTTTTTATGGTGAGTCAAAAAATAAAAAAAAACCTGGAAATTCTGGAAACAGAATTTACAAATTATATGCATATGACATGATAATTAGTTCTGTTAGAGTTACTAACTGGGAAAGCCTGAAGTATGAGCCATGGGTTTTAATCTCACAAAATGAAATGGCAAGTATTCATATGACATCCATTAATGGAAACACACTGTATTAGCAGTTTCACTTTGCCAACTTGTTGAAAATTTGCTTATAATTTACACAAAACATTAATGGGAACACAGCTGCTGACACAGCCTGGATGTCAGCAACCAGCTGATGTCAATATGACAACCAGGCCCTGGAATAATCAAGTTAACATTCATGGGAAACAGACCCAGAGTAGTTCCGACAGTAGGGGCCACTTGATGCGATTACACCAAACCGCTGCCCTGACATCCTGGGAAACCTGCTTCACTGTGATGACACTGTGGCAGTAAAGAACCTCTCACTAAATCACGGGTCTGACGTCTGTGACATCAAAACATTTCAGGCTAATGAAGACACACTGTCAGTCTAGCGATGGCCTGTAGGAAGCTCTAGGGGGATGCTGAGAGAGAGGCAGTCTCTTTTGCCATCCTGTTGGCGGAGTGTGGATTCCAAGAGTGTCATGATGCTGCACCAAAAACAGCGTGATGAGGCCTGGAACCTGTCATCCACACCCATGAGCCTCAGCCCTAAATTCGCAATATTCAGGAAAAAATATGACACCATAAAATGTTTCTAAATATATACATGGCCTGGGAACAGCAATGAAAGAGAAAAAGACTAAGGCACAGTAAGAAAAATGATATCTGTCTTATTTAAAGAGCATAGAAGTTTCATTTTTATAGTGGGGAAAATACCCACATGTTTGTAATGCACTTATCTCACAGTGCTCTTGCCTCTGGATCCCAAGTCTATGCCGAGAAAATGAACACCTTAAAAACACAGAAATCTTTTATTGTGAGACCAAACAAATGCTACTAGCTAATTATTTGTTTCTGTTTCTTTGGAATTTTGTTTGTTTCTCTCCATAGCAACTATCAGAGCCCAGCAAACCTTTTTTGAGTTCAGCAGTGTTGTGAATTTACGAAAAGAAATAATTTTTGTTGAGTTGTTGCTAGTCAGGCATGGTTGAGCCAAGCTGTCTAAAAAAGTGCCATATTGGCTAAAAGAAATTTGACGGCATTCTTTTAGCATCATTTATTTATTAAAATACTTTATTTAAAAATTACCCACAATCGCAACTAATCATTTCCCTGTGGTCCCACTCATTGTTCCTTTCCAGGATACAGTAATATTTTCCAGATATTGCATGCCCATCACAAAATGAAGATGACTCCTTGAAAAGATTAGTGAAGTCTACTAAAAAGCATATTTATAGTTAAGCTATCTGTGATTAAGAACATTTGCATTAGAAGTTAGATGTCTAATTATATTTACCCCCGCCTTCCCATCCATAAAAATAGCATGTAGTTCAAATATATTTTAACAGTAAAAATTCACATTCCCAAAATAAACTTTTAAATGTTCTCCATGATAGCTGAAAATATTGTGCCCAGTTGAAGAACTATGCCAAGGGTTAGGTATTCAACTTCATTAGACCTAATTCCCTAAATAAACAAACAGTATTTCACCTTGTTATTCATTACTTGCTCCTTAGTAGTTCCTTCAGTAGCTCACAAAGGTTTACATAATTAAATGGTATAGTAACAAATATAGTAACTGCTTGGGATAAGACATGTGTCATGATTAATTAATGATGAATTAATGAGATCAGTATGTAACATTTTTATTTATATATAAGTAATACTATAATACTATATTATTTGTGCCCCATCAAGTAAAGTGTTACCAAGGTTTTATTGAATGCATTGTATGTTTTCTAGAAACTTCCTTTGTTTTCTAATCATTCGGGGATTCTCTTTGCCTGCCATTTACATCACAGAAGAAACACGATCTGGGTCTCTGCGACACCCTCATTTGGGTGAATTTGACTATCACTTATTCAAATGTTTGTTCTCGGGCCAACTCGAGTGCCTCCAATCTTTCCTGCTGACGACATTCAGCCAACAAACCATGGCCGTCCAGCAGCTTGTTCACCATAGCAACCTGTAATGCATATGGTCCCCTATGCTTTCCCACCATATTTCCTGCAGAAGAAAAAAAACTTATTGTAGTAAAACTGTAGCTACAGAGTCTAGTGCTAAAAGTGTGTGTAAATGTTCATGCATATGTACTTGTAAATACCTTGTTATACCTGGACGTGCTCACCAAGACAAATCGTATTTTTTAACATATTTGGTCAATATCTTGGCTAAGATCTTTCATCTTCAAAAAGCAGTGGGACATTGAGTAAATATTTGTGTTAAGTATCTAATTCTGTACACTATTTCATACAGTCATTACCTGTCATTTCAAAATTGGCACATTCTGACCCAAAAACATAAAGCTTAACAACATGACCAGATTGCTTAGAAACATGGTGCAAGTGTGTGAGTTGTGAATCATAGCATCTCAGACATGTATATGAGGTGCCCTGAGGCCTGGAAGAAAAGTAGGGCCTGTTTACTGCTGCCACCCACCCATCAGCCCACATCAAGGTGGCTTCTCCTTCATCTGTATGCCTCAGATCACCTCAGCATGCTTTGACAGCCAATGAAGATAGAGAACTCAGTTTTGCCATGTAGCCAGTGTAACTCCCATCACGTGGGCCATCACGGGCTATTCTTGCACCATGCTAATTCATTCATGAGATCATACCCACCTTCCTGCTGACACTGACTTTTCCACTACCTGACAGAAAGGGGAGTCGTTTGATTTGACCCCATGAGCAATTAGAGAATTCCCACTACACAGCCTGCATTCACTTATTTGCCTCACCTTTCCGGAAACGCATTCATGACTGATTGTTCATAATCGACATACATGACATCCGTTTTTTTTTTTTTTTTACGAGGGCAACCAGGACTCTTGTAATAATCAATTATTACCTCAATTATTGCCATAATTTAGCCACTGTCCGGTACATTTCACAAAATTATCCCCTTTATATGGACTGCCTTGCTTTTAGCAGGGGGAATGAAAGGCACTTTCAGCGGTAGAACATAAAAGCCTCTGGTTTTCAGACTCTGTTTCCCAGGGAATACTTAGCTACATAAACACAATGCAATGGCGTATTGCACCTTAGCGCTTAACTGGCACGCACCTCTAACTCATTTACGAACATTAGCGATCTTCATACCTGCCCGAAAGGTATTATATAAACGAATGTGAACAAAGGGGACATACATATCCAATCAGCCTTTTTTGTTTGTTTGTCATAGAAAGGTACTCATACATATAGAATCCTACAGGTGAGATGTGAATCATGACGTGAAAGACTTGGATTATTATTTACTCCCATGAATCCTGTTACAAAAAACTATCATACTCACGAACATATATTTTTATGCATCATTCAAACCTTTTCAAATTTCCACAAACTGCCTTTCCCAACATGTTGGAGTAAATCTGTAAGACATTACTTGTTCCAATCAAAATATAAAGAGATTACAGTAGAGTACATTAGAGTACAACCGTCACAGATTCAGGCAGACAGAAAGTTCTTTAAAATAAAAAGAGAGATTGTATTTACCCTGTTTGACATACCAGGAAATAGTCACATCCAGTAATGTACATGAGAGCTACTGTTACATGTCTGGGAAAATGCTAATGCAAGGTCACTGAGTACAGCACCATTATCTTAGCATTTCGGCGGTTAGACCCAACAACCCCTGACTCCTCATAACATCGTGCAGTGTAATCAGAATGGCTGGTCACAAGCAGACACCAGGGGCACGGGTGTCCATGCCGTGGTCCTCACGTGCACAAGGCAGCACGTGTGGAAACATTAGCTCTGACTACATGTTACTGGGCATCTGTCAACTGTTGCCATGGCACGCCATAGCAACTGGGTTTAATTAAGGATATTTCAGTCGCTCTAAATGGTCGCCATGAGCACCGCGGCTGTGTCAGCTTTGCCCAGGGTTCCGATGATGATGCACGGTGACAAGGGTCCTTGTGTGCCCAGGAGTGGCAGATGGGCACTTTTGCGCATGTTTGGGGAGAGTTAGTGCATTCTTTTACCTGTAGGCTGATTACCACATCCTTCTCGAGAGCATGGCCTCCTGTTGCCATGGGGACGCAGAAAGGCGGCAACTGGAGTGGGTGGGTGGTTGGATCAGCCCTTTTCTTTCACAGTTGGGTTGCCAGTCAACCTGTGGGGTGGCATAACCTGTGGGGAAAGGGATGAGTCAGGGGGAGGAGGCACTGACACAGTAGTGCACCGAGCCGTCGTATTCCTGCTATTGGAGGAGTATTAATGTTTGCCAAACATAAAATATGACCCTTTAAGAAAGCAATCGAGATATAAGCCGGTCACGAAATACTGGCAGAATGCTGAGCAACACATCAAACTCTAATTCACATATATTCATATACCAAAAATCTCGCTCCACAGCCCATGCCACCCGTCGTTCTCCAGAAGGCAATGCTCCCCGCCAGCCAGGAGTGAGCGGCTCGCTGGGTCTTCGCTGCCGCTTAATTAGCTTGTCTGCCATTGGAATCTCCTAGTGGGGAGTGTGGCAGGCTATCGCAGCAAACGGACGCAGGCCTGGCAGGCGGCCAGATTCTCAGGCGGTGCTGCAGGAACCGCGAACGACAGTGGGGCTAGTTGAATCGCATCCTCGGCGGCGGCGATGAGTCACGGCCGTGCTCCATCGCTGCTCCTTGACTAATGCTGGCTATCTGCCCGCAGTTGCTGGAACAGGAGCCATGTGACTTTATGAAACATTACACAACAATGCAGAAGATGCGGGGTTTTTTAGGTAGATATTAAATCCTTTTGACTACTGGATAATTTCCAGCTATATGTGGGACCAATAAGCAGAATGCTGGACCATCTCAGATCCAGACTGATTAAGCAGCCATCTGCTAAGACACAATGCTATTTTATGGATCTTTCTTGAAAGAGGTACAGTGAAACAATCAAAATATTCAACATAAGCCAACATAAACAGCCCCTCCATTTTCTGAGGATTATCACTGAAAAGAGCAGAGTGGCGAATTCCCAAAACACTTGTTTAAAAAATGTATTCGCTTACATTTTTATTTATTTAGCAGATACTTTTAGCCAAAGCTACAATCATTTTTGAGAAGGCAAGGTCAGACTGTCCCTGGAGCAACTCAGGGTTGATTTGAACCAATGGCCTTCCAATCAAAGGACAGCATCCTAACACACCGAGTCACACATTCCCCCTTAAACTCTATGATACATTTATGTATCATAACTTTACATTTTACATTATTTAACAATACAGAATTTAGCACACTATCCCAAAAGTCACACACTTTTAAGTCCCGAGCTTAACATCAAAAAATTTTTACTAGTTTTTTTCACTTGCCACTGAAAATGCACAGCATACACTTCCTTCCATCAAATGAATTAAAAAATCTCTCTGTGCATTCTGGCATCTAATTTCTGTGGTTGTTTCAGCATAACAAACAGAGCCACACAATCATTCCTACAAGATGAGATATTTGCAAATGGATTTTTTTTCCTCTGCCAGGCAGGAATGGCAAAATCCGTATCTCGGCAACCCACTGCAAATCTGTAGAGTTACGTGGAAACTGGTGAGTCATGGATCACTATAACCTCCAGTGATTAGCTCCAGTGAACTTAAATGGAGCTGCGATCTATAAGAAAAACAAAGACTGGCACCTCAACAACCATAGCGGCAGAGTTTGTTGTCAAAGATCAAGATATCAGCGCGCTCATTTCCTGGACCTTAGCCTTGCTGGATAAAGCCTACTTGCTTCAGTGAGCCATTACAAGGCTTTGTGTGGCCCACAGACCCTGTCAGCACAATTCCCAGTGAGGGATCATTTCCGAAGATGGTTGCTGGCTCACAAGACTTAATGAAGATTTGGAGTGAAAACAAAGTGTTAGAGATAAAGCAGGAAACATGGATTTGGTAGAAATCGCTACACGCAGCCAAAACATTACTAAATGACCAGATGTCTTGAATTATCTTGGATCATATTTTGACTGTGACCTTATACTGCTGAAGCGATAAAACAAATCTTGCTTCTACAGATGCCACTCATCATTAGCTACTTGGAAGACAAAGTAATTAGAAAAATCTTCTTGGAGGAACATACGGTCCGTTGTCTGTATGTGGTTTTAAATAATCAAATAAAATGCTTTTAACAGGCCATGCATGGACAGACTATTACCACAGACATGTATATATGACAAATGTACATAGATTCATGTTTAATACACACCAACATTCTTAAGTTATCAGTAAAAACATTAATTTCAGGTTTGTCAGATTATCAGCAGTTTCTTCTGATCCCAAAGAAGCTGATAGACAGAATCATTTCCAGTGATCCCTTCCAAAAACCCGATCCAGTCCTACTTGCTGTTTAGTGTAACTTGCTGCCTAAAGCATAAACTAAATTCAAGAAAGTTAATGCATAACATAGTAATACCAGACAGTCAGAACAAGCAGAAACTGTGCGTGACCCTCCACCATTAATACAATCCAGAGTTTCAGCCTCCTGGTGTCCTTGAGTGTTCATTGTTTCCTGTGGTGGGCCAGTTGCCTTGGAGCTAAACAAAGGGGCAAACATGCCGGCTAATCAGGCTGTGAGAGTTCAGAGAGGATCTGCTATCCTGTCCCAAGGGCGCTTCATTCGTTTCCTGCGAGGGCACCCCATCGCGCAGCTACACCCTACGGCCGCCTACCATGCCTGAATGCATTGCATCTGCAGCTGCTTATCTCCGGAATGTGGGAATCAGCTGTCCTCCTGCGCACTATTCAAAACAATTACATCTAAATCCAGGAGCCCCATCTCCTATCTTTTCATGGTTCTGGGTATCTGGAAGGTTTCCCAGTTACGGATCAGTGAAGCTCATCGTGCCGACAGCCTACAGCTGTAGGAGTGACAAGCTTCCCATCAGACCTGATACATATTAAAATTCATGTCTTGCATTTTTACAGGGTAAAAGGGAAACCGGAGGAGATTACCCTCTGGAGCTTGACAGGAGTCACGCACAGGCAAGTTTAGAGGGGGTCAGATTGAGGGTCTATATGTGTGCTTGTAAGCACCGTGTGTGTGAGTCAATATATATATATATATATATATATGCATGTCATTTTATTGGGATTGTGTAAGCAGGAACAGGTGCGTGCGTGATGCTTTAGGGCTACCGTAGAACACTCTGGAATGATGCAGGACAAAATTATCTCACGGCAACATGACGGCATGGCACGCCAACCATGGCTCGGAGAGAAGCCTGAGGGAAGCCACGGATTCCTCTTCCAGCCTGGGCTGGGGTGGCCCCCCACAGCAGCGGTGATGTGTTCCTGATCAGAACAGGTCTGTCTGTACCATCGTCGGCAAGAACTTCCTGTTGTGTGCATGATAAAATGACATAGTAATGGATTGGCACACACTCTCGTCAAGTACCTTGGGGGAGACTGTTCTGAGAAGCGCTATATAAATTGAATTGAAATGATAGCGGGTCTCCTTGAGTTCCACACACAGACTGCTGAACCCTCAAAGCAGGTTCCAAATCATGATGGAGCTGAGACTCTCATGTTCTGGTCTAGGAAGAAAGGCGGACAGATTCATGCAGAGACACTTTAACATGGTCATCAGCCCCCGGCTATTTCAGTTGTCAGAGGCCCCCCTACTATTTTCTACAATGGTCTAGATCAGCGGTCTCCAACCTTATTAACAGTGAAAGCTACTTTTACAAAAGAAAATAATCTGGCAAGCTATTGGGCTGTTACGGTAAAAGTTGATGACCGGGACCGGGTATACTTTGCCAGCTGGGTGGGGGGCGGGGGTGTTCACTGTTGTGATCGATTTAAAAAGTCTGAAAGATCGATTGGTTGGCAACCGCTGGTTTTAATGTAAAACGTTGAAATAGCTGAGACAAGTGGAGGCCCCTTCAGCCCAAACAGAAGGACTTTCTTCTGGGATTTACATGGGAATGGTCAGTGTTGGTCGAAGCCCATGTGGCAAACTAGCCAACCCTCCCCACTGCCACCCTCCATTTCATATCAAGTGAAACCAGCTTGCAAAGTCAGCGCCACTCAGAAGATGCTGCTCATCTGTGGGCACTTTTCCTGCACACTAAGTATGGTACTTTCGGTACTTTCCCTTTTCTATTAACTTCCGGTCAAGTACCAGTATCAAAAGTCCTAGTACCAAAAATGCCAAACCAAGCGAGGTACTTCTTTGGTACTGCGGTAGTTAGGGGTGGGACTTAAAACTCCATCTGTGTTGATTGGTTATGCAAATAGCCTGCCTCTGAAACACAATATAACTGCTGTCTTGAAAAAGTTGCAAACTCAGAAACCAACGATAAACGCTATTAAAAAAATTTAAGTAATAATGATGGATGTGTATACAAATGAAGAAACCCAAGCCGTAATTGCGATGTGGTTGGAAGACGAGATACAAGATCAGGATGGCAAGAAATAGAAATGTATTTTACATAATATACTATGGCAGCACCGTATTGGACAAATTTCTTGATGTCATTTTATTGTAATAAATATTGGTGCATTTATAAAGCAAAAAAGGAGTAAAACGAATTTCTCACAAACCCATTTAGGACTGATTTAACCAGCAAGGATGAAAATGATTATGATTGTCTCAGAGAACGAATGCAGCCTTCATGCAAAAGCAGTGGAGGTAAATTGATTTTTAAACATGCGCTAGATAATCTTAAAAAAGAATAATCGTTAAAATTGCAAAACTTGCTAAGTTTTTTTCCCTATGACAGAGTAAAAATGTTTTCGCAAAACTTAAACTCCCTGCACCATAATGTGCGTACAGATTTGAAGGTATGAAAAAGCCTGATCTAATCCAGCTGACTGGCAATGTAAGAATTACATGTGCATAACATGTGATGTTGGTATTAGTATCACAATTCATCCGGCCAGCACTATAATATACGTAGGCATTTTTTCGAATTCAGTATAAAATACCCTGCCTTGCGTTGTGATGTCATTTAGGGGCAGTACCAGTTTGTACGCCAGCTTGAAGAACCCTACTTTTGGTGCTTTCTTGATGTACCAAAAGTACAGTACCTGGTGCAGTGGAAAAGCACTCTATATACAGCATAGCAAAAGGGCATTATGGATACCAGTGTTTCCCAAGCGGAGCAAGTCCAGCTCAGGTCAGACTGTTCCACAAGGTCGTTAAACTAATTTAGAGTAAAAGGTGGGGACCAATGACCTTTGAGCATTGCAGCAGTGGTCAGACTATCAATGTCTTCCAAGCCTATGAGACAAGCTATTGAGCCCTGTCGTACTACACAAGTACTACACAAGTCAGCAATCATGCACGTGCCGGACTTGTAAAACTGTTCTGACTGTTTAAATGCCAGTATTGTTCTTGTAGTTAAGCTAATATTATTGGGAAAGGAGATACTGTATGGAAGAGAAGTCTTCTTATATGGGTTAAATGACTACACTGGAAATGCTGTATTTGTATGCATAAGCTTTGCATTACAATAAGGTCAGACAAATTTATATGGTGTTTGTGTTCAAAATGTAAAATGCAAAGTTAAGCCAAGAGCTGACCGCACGTTTGACTGTGAACCTGCTAGGCTCTTGAGCTCTAAGTCGTGCTGTTTCAACAAGTGTTTGTATTGATCAGTCCTGCACTCGTTCACACACGGCAAGTGTAAAAACTGCATCTGAATAGGGCCAGCTCCTAAGGCTGGGGATTACTAGCTTTTTGGGCTCGGGTCAGCCACCTATTACACAGACACACAGGAAATCATATTTACAGGTGGCATGATGAGATTTTTGGGGGCAGCAAAGAACTGCGCAACAAGTGCCAGCCAATGCAGTCAGATCCCTCCTAGTGCCATCTACAAAGTTATCTCTACTATGCT